GAGGGGTGTTTCATTGTTCTGATTTCATTTCTTGCAAGATCCTGGGTTACATTTATGAAAGTTAGGCTGGCCCTGATTTCATTAATCTAATCCCTACAAGTTGTCATGTACGCTGATGATTCATCAATGTTCTATTCTGATTCGAATATCAATGGTATGTCAAAAGTACTGGAGAATGAGATGGATTTACTTCTGAAATGGATTAATAATAATAATAATATCATTCTGAATTTTAACCAAACTAGATCAATGTCAATTGGTTATAAACAACGATTGCATGGTTATCCACAGTTGAACCTGACTAAGAAGAGCTCCGTCATGGAGCAAGTTACACAAACTAAATGACCTGGTTTCACAGTGGTCATGGACCATGGCCTCATCACATCGACAGTATAATTAGTAAAATGGGTAAAGGTATTGCTGTTGTCAGAAGATGTTCAGCTCTTGTTATTCCATCAGTTCTGAAATAGATTGTGCGATCTTTAACTACTCACTGAAACTACTGTTCAGTTTTATGGTCTGTCGCCAACAAATCAGATTTGTTAAGGTTGCAGGTAGTCCAAAATAAGGCTGCTCACTTAGTGTTAACATGTCCAGTTCATGCAATCATTACAGATATGCACCGTATTTTACTGAAGGTTAGGGTGCAGTACAATTTACTTACATTTATAAACTAAGTTATACTAACTGGAAGACCTGAGTCAGTGTACGAAGACTTAATTACTCTGTTCAGACACATAATTATGTTACTAGATACTCTTGTGAAATAAATTAAATGTAAATCATGCTCAGACAAACTTGATACAAAAATCAGTCTATAGAGCTATTCAAAAATGGAATTAATTATTTAAAAACATTAGATATTTAAAAAGCACATTTTCTTTTAAAGAAGCACTGAAATCCTTTTTGTATTGTTCTGATTTTCAAGGAATGGTTTGAACCCCAAGATGCAGGACCGAGTGAGGCTGGAAAAAGTTGTAAAAAAGGTTTTATTAACAAAAAACAAGAGGCTGACGAGGCAGCGAACTAAATACAAAAACTTGGCTTGGTAAGGACGTGAACAAAGAACAGCAAACAAGGATCTGACAAACACAGAACACACTGAACAGAATATAAAGGGAAAACTAATGAGCTAAAACAAGAAACACCTGGGGAAGATATAAGGATCAGGTGTGAGTGGGCGGGGCTAGAGCAAAGACAGACAGGAGGAGAAAACAGATGACAAAACATCAACAAAGACACCAATCATAACATGTATTAAATTTTATTTTGTCATTATTATTGTTATTATTTGTTTTGTTTTTAACTGGGCTTATGTGTGTAGTTTTGTAAAATGTGGAATTTGACTAATCTTGTGTATATTTCATGTCAGTGTTAAAACTATTTTATGTGTTGTATAAATATTGATGTGTTATGTTAGTTGGACCCCAGGAAGATTAGTGACCACCCAAGTGTCCAAAACATGCAGCCGCAGATCAGATAAAACAACAAAGTCGATCATCGAACTGCGGCCTAGGGTGTCCTGGTGCCAAGAGCACATCTGGACTCCCTTATGTTTGAACATGGTGTTTGTTATGGACAATCCATGATGAGCACAGGAGTCCAATAACAAAACACCGCTCAGGTTCAGATCGGGGGGGCCGTTCCTCCCAACCACGCCTCTCCAGGTCTCACTGTCATTGCCCACATGATAATGGTGGTAATCTGAACTGCTGTTAGGCTCATAGACACAAACAACAGTCAGGACCCCTCCCCCTACTCGTAGACGGAAGGAGGCTACCCTCTCATTCACCGGGGTGAACCCCAACGTACAGGCACCAAGATGGGGGGCAATAAGTATGCCCACTCCTGCTCGGTGTCTCTCAGTATGAACAACTCCAGAGTAGAAGAGAGTCCAACCC